AGGACTTTCCATCCATCCCCCACACCCGCCTTGACGTTTATCCTCTCAGTACTGTGACGAGTGGGTGAGATTCTGTTTCCAGACCTTCTGTGTTCCTTCAGCTTGAGGCCCCTGGTGAAGTAGGGAGTATGGCCTCTGCTTCTGTCAGGGTCCAGGCTTAGACACTGATGCCACCACTCTCGTGTCATACTCACTTTTCAAAGAGTAAATATTTTACCTGTGTTAGTTTTTGCTTAAGTATTTCTTTTGCTATAACACAGGGACATTCTTGTGACTTTCTAAGTCACTGTTTGCCTTACAATCTTCTGTCTTGCTACGTTGCTAAGCAGACACATCTCCAGAATGCATACTGTCATTGCATCTGTTACCTGCTAAGCATTCCTCCTGTGTGGGGCAAAGGCTCCTCATCCCAAAGCAAATGCTTTCTCAGCAAATCTCTTTGCTTCTTTCCTATTGCTGAAATACCCTGCCAAAAGCAATGTAGCAACGGATGAGCTACTTGCTGAACAGTGGTGGCGATGGCTTTCATCCCAGGGGAGGCAGAGGTAGGCAATGGATCTCTGAGCTGGAGGCCAGCATGGTCTACAGGGTGAGGTGACTCAAGGAAATATGTCAAAAGTGACATATAACTAAAATATGTATTAAAATGACATACCAAAGAAATGATGGTAAATGATACAGAGGAATTGGGAGGATAGTAATTTGAGTATTGTTCTCTTAGCTGTAATACACAATTATACCCCCTTATCTTTGTGTATAAACTAGCCTTTTGGGACTCATTCACAACCTGGGATAAATATTTTCCCTTGGGAGCTAGCCAAGGAGTTTTCTGACCTTGAAAACGAGATAAAGGCTGAGGATGCAGCTCAGTGGTAGAGCATTGCTGATGGTGGGCATTCAATACACAGCAATGCAAAATTAACCCTGATAATAATAAGATCACACTGCTAAAGCTGGGCATTTTGATAGACAACTCTAAACCCAGTACTTGGGAGGCTGAACAGGTGACTTGTGATTTCCAGGTCAACCCAACATCCATGGCAAGACTGTGCCTCAAAATAAACAAGAAAAACTAAAAAGAAAAGCAAGACAGAAGCCTGTCTTTGCTGCCTCAACAGTGCCAAATGGACATTTTTCCTCTCTCTCCCAGTTACACTTACCTGTCCAATTAGGAATACCTCAGTCTCTCCTACTTTCAACCCTTCCTTTCAGGTAAAAATCTTTCCTTTTTTTCCAGACAGGGTTTCTGTGTAGCTTTGGAAGCTGCCCTGGAACTCCACCACTAGACCAGGCTGGCCTCAGACTCACAGAGAAGTAGCTGCCTGCCTCTGCCTCCCGTGTGCATGGATTAAAGGCATGTGTCATCACTGCAAGGCTGAAACTTCCATTTTACGACCAACTATGGTTGGTTTAAACCTATTCAAGCAATAGCTTAGTCTCTTGGGTTTTTCTCTGGAGGTGACATTTGGGTGCCGTTCTTGAAACCCCATGCTCTCTGAACACTCAAGTTTCCACAGCAACCCGATTCCTTATATAAGTGGTTTTTTCCTGGTCTCCTGACTTTGGAGCTGTGCTCCCTGGTGACAGACCCTGATTTCTGACTTCCTATGATTTTTTTAATTCATATTCACATGGTTCTGTTCTTAGTGTCTTTGGCCTTACATTGTTTTTCCATTTTAAGCCTAATCTCCCTTTTGACTCCTGAACTACTGACCACTAATACATGCATCCAGTGCACATACACACATGCCACACACACACACATGCACAAACATGCACTCATCAGTAAGTTGATGGATGAACAAGAGTTCATATGTATGGAAGAACTGTGATTCCAGAGTTAATAATCCCATCAAGGTCTTGCTAACTAGTTATTGTTGCCACCATGGTATCTAATTATGCTTTGGGAGATCTTGTAAGATGTGGAAATACATGCGAGATGTGTTTCGTAGCTAATTCGACCCTGAAACACCATTTGGAACCATAATGCCATGGGAATGTGTTTGTAAATAGACTTTTGAACCAATGTTTGGCATAGAATCTTGCTATCTCTGAAACTCCATCAATATTAATATTTAATCCAAAACCCATAATAGTAATTAATAAGCATTTAGAAAATAATTAACAGTAAATTAAATTAGAAAAATGGGTTCCTCACCTAGTAGGCCAAGTGACCTTCTAAGCATTGGACCTGAATACAAGGGAAAGTTGTGTGAGAACATCCCCAAAACTAATTGTGGCAAATGCACTTGTACTGTGTAAATTACCCAGCTGTGTCACAGCTGGATCACGAGTAAAAGAAGCCTACTCATGAATCTAAAAGCCAGTGATCAGAGTATATTGCAAAACTTGTTCATTTTTATCAATTACAAACTGTACCTAAAACAGAGCTTCAAGTAGTTCTTACTTAAATGTTCTATATACTTCAGCATGAATAAATTAATGAGTGATAAATCCTATAGATCTCTAAAAGAGGATGTGTTTGGAGATAAGCAAAACCATGGATGTAAGTACTAAAGTCTCAAGAATGTATTGACCATGCTTTGAGAACAATAGCCATGTCTTTATTACAAAAATATCCCCAAATTACAACTCACAGTAGAAGCAAGACTGATGTTAGTTAAATCGAAATCAAGCTGTCATCACAACTATTATTATATCCACTAACACTAACAGAAGAGGTGTGACTAGGCTGGAGGGTTTCACACAAAAGTATCTGTGGTAACCTAAAGTCTTTTAATCTTGTGGCTAATCTAACATTATTCTCAGTTGAAATAACAAATACTATTTCTTTGCTTTTTTCTTTCTTTTTTCTTTTTCTCTTTCTTTTTTTTCTTTCTCTTTCTTTTTTTTTGGGGGGGGATAGGGTTTTTCTGTGTAGCTCTGGCTGTCCTGGAACTGGAATTCACTCTTTAGACCATGCTGCCCTTGAACTCACATGGATCCATCTGCCTCTGCCTCCTGAGCACTGGGATTAAATGCATACACCACTGCACTACCACCAGCACTCAGCAACAGTTAATATGCTAACCCGATGGAATATTGTACATTTTTAGGAGGAAATTTCCAACTGCCTTAAGAATATATAGAAACAAGTAATGCTTGGGTAGCCCAAATGTAACAAACAAGGTGCTTAGAATCTGTGTGGTAAGTCAGGCCAGATAGGTGCTTTGTGATTCAGTGATACACCTTTATTTAACTTCTCAGTTCAAGCTCTCATTCATGTGGACGTTACTGTCACAGCAGGAGGTGTGCAGTAATGTAAGAACTGAATATAAACCATGTGACACAGAGTCAACAGTGGGCCACGCATCACTTCCTAGAGCTCAGTTGTCCCCGGGGTTGTACAGGTGTAACAGAGGCTGAAATAGAAGCAACCACCCTTTGTTTATGCCCTCCTTACTCAGCCTTGGAACAATCATATGCAGATGGTATTCCAAATTTGTTTTCTCTGCCTTTGTGTGTTTGTGTGAATACATGCCATGGGGTTACCAGGAACCAAATTCAGATCCTCTGGAAGAACAGTATGTGCTGTTAACCTCTGAGCTGTCAGATGATACTCAAGATAGCTTCGTGGATAAGCAAATCAGAGCCCAGAGAATTTAATTAGTGGCCCCATGTAACTCAGGCCTAATAATAAGTCTACTATGTCTCCCCTAACAGACTGGCTTTAAAAGCTTCTCTCTTCACAGCCATCCTGTTTCAATGACTTTATTTTCTCTGTGTATGTTTATGCTTATCTGCATGGTTATATAGCTCATGCTTTTTTATTCCTTATCCACAACTTGGGGGTCGCGGTTGTTTGGATAGGGGTCGGAACCTCAAGCATCCATTGAACACCCGTGTGCCCAGTACTCCTTGAGAACAAAATGACTGTGTTATGGATCTATTTTTGACAACTTGCTGTATGAGAATAATGGCAGTGTGAGAAAAACATATACATGTGCCATTACTCAAAAAACCAGTTATCACTTTGTGCATATACCTTATTTTAATTAATTTTGTTTCCCCATGTGACTGGGCCTTAAGTTTATTCTCAACTTCCTAAAGCAAAGGCTTGTTTTTGCCCAGGAAATCCTCTCTTTGGCCCATTTGCAAAGGTTTGATATTTACATTCACAAACAGTTAATCTCATTTCTTAACACTTGAGAAGATTGACCACTCTTGAGATCTGAGGTCAGAGCTATCTGCCATTTGTTGCTGACATTTCATTATTTTGAAATACTACATACATAAGATATGCAACACACATAACTAAAACCACTACTACTGCATGCTTAATATTGTTAATGTATAAATTCTTATTATTGTATGTGTGTGGAAAAGAGCCAAGGGCATTTTCTAAAACAATGCTAAGATATGCTTCCATGATGCAGAACCAGCCTGTACCGAAGGCAGCCTCAAAGGGTACCTGTACTAGAAGAATGAGCCTCTCCTTCCTCAGCCAGACCCCTCTAACTTCTAAGTGTGAGGTCCACAAGCCCCTTCCGCTCTTGGGGCTGAGCTGTGGTTACTACTTCCTCCTCAAGGCCTGCTACTGCTCCCTGCCTCAACCGTGTCTTTGGCCCCTGATAAACCTGCAGTCAGAATGGCATTTTCTTCCTCCAGCACTTGCAAATCCGATTTTTATGTCTAACTAAGTGCTCTTGGTTTTCGCTCTACCTACTGCTGGGGCCTGGTTTCTAGCAGGCCTGTACCTAAGCCAGATCCGGCCTGTTTGTAATGAGAAATCTAAACAGGGAATGGCAATGAGGCATGGCAGGAATGTGTTTCCATTGGAGAAGCCAGTGCAGAGAAAACGTGTGCGCAAAGCTATGTCCACAAGGCCTTTTCAGCCGGCCAGGACTGAAGACTAATGTTACTGCACATAGGTGGTTCGCCTGCCAACTCTTCCTTACAGATTCGCTTTCTCTGCCCCTCCCCCCACCCGCCCCCTTCTCACCCTTCTCTTCTCTTTTCCTTTTCTCTCCTTCTTTGGACCCTGCTGCCTGTTTGCTCAGGTGGACAGTGACACCATTTGGAACGAGCTGCACTCGTCCGGTGCTGCACGCATGGCTGTTGGCTGTGTCATTGAGCTGGCTTCCAGAGTGGCCTCAGGAGAGCTGAAGGTGAGGTCTGGGTTGCATTAAGTGTGGGAAATCCAGAGAAGACGCTGAAACAGAGATGTTGTTGTTTGGGCAATGTGGGGGGTGTCGTGTGTTAACAAAGGGAAGAGATGTTGGGAGGAGGGCAAGGCGATGGCCCCTGAGCTGTGAGCAGAACTCCTCTGTGCCCACACTCCTCTGTGCGTGGGCGCCTGCCATCCTGCTTGAAGGGCCTTCCTCCTCCCGGAATGTTCTGTAGTCAGAGCATACTGGTATATTTGTAAGACTGTAGACAAGGTGAGCAAAACCTTGGTCCATGTTAAAAATAGCAAGTGCTCTATATGCATGTGTGTGCGTGTGTCTGTGTGCATGCGTGTGCCTGTGTGTGTGTAAAATATGTGATGCTGTCCCAACATTCTCTTTTGAAGTGACTTAAATACTACAGTTACTGAGTAGTATGTTTAAGCTCAGAATACCACCCAGAGAGAGGAGGGGGAGAAAGTCAACACAGACCGAAGGATTGGGAGGAAACTGTTGATTGGGAGGGTGATGAACCAGAGTATGTTTTTCCATGAAGGAACTTCAAAAATGAGCTATGCTTTACTGTTCTTTGCTTTTTATGGCCTCTTCTTTTCTACATCATATGAAAAGAACAATGTCCAAACCCCAACATTTCCAGTCTAAACAATTTATAAAAGCCAGAGCCCTGACAGACACTGACATTTTATTTGGTATTTTAACAGTGCTATTTAAAGGTATGCCATGTGTGTCTTGAATGTAGCTACCCCAATAAACTTTGTTGGTGCTAACATAGTTTTTTAATGCACTAGTTCACACACTTCATAATGTGATCTGGAATGGTGATTGATCTGGTATTTTCAGCAATTGTGAGGCTTGAGGGGAATGTATTATGACCAGCAACAAATGCACTGTGAGTTTTTAAATCTCAGATAAAATCTAAATGGAATTGTTTTTCTTAATGTTCAATGATTATTTTTATTCAAATTATACCTGAATCTTGTGATTTAAAATGTAGGGTGGCACTGAAAACCATGGTGTCATCTTTCCCAAAAATCAGAATTTATAGAAATAAGCTTTGGATGTGTTAGGTTATGGGATTTTGTTGCTTAAAAAGAAATGCATGTGTACATTTGACAAGACTTAGCCTCAGGGCACTAACTGCTTATCTGGAGGGTTAATGGGTCTATTAATGAATGTAGTGGTTAATTTTCAGGCTTTATTTTTGCAAATAATAAATTAAAAGGTCAGAGGGATTCTGCTTTCTGGACAGGCTTTGCTGTCTCATATAATGCCTCTGGGATAATTATTCAAGTGACATCATGTATTATAATGAGTGAACATACTTAAAGAATATTTGAGGGTCTTGTTTTCAAAAGGATTTAAGTAGCAAGCAATAGTACTCTAACTACATATTCCAATTTTTTCAGTTGTGTTGTTGCCATCCCCCCACTTGATGTAAAATGGAATTTTTATGTTTGTATTCACAATTTCTAATTGCCTTAAGTTTTAGATGGTTTAATTGATAATTTAGAAGCCTCGTGAATTAGAATGCTTATAGTTAAGGAAATCATGACTGTCCATCCTCAGGCTATGGAGAATTTACAAATTTATGAATGAAGAAAATGGAACAAAAATTGAATTCTGTATTTCACAGGTAGTCACTTCAGATGACCAGTTACAAATAATGTGTCAACACAGTGCACTACGGACACACTGACCACCAGCTGTACTAACATGGACTATTTATATTAAGAACAAGAGTTCCTACAGATGCTTTTTTCTCCTCTTTGCTAAACAGTCAGCAGACACGGTTTTTTTTTAAAAAGTAAAATGGGTAGAAAAAAGGGCTCTGCTGTTCCAGTATCTTTTGTGGAACATTATTTAGTTTCTCTAGCCTTGTTTCCTGACCTAGCATTAAGCAAGACTGAGGAGGCTGAAAGTCGTTCACAGTGCTGACACTGAAGCTGTTTGCAAGGAAGGAAGGCAGACTTGAATCTCAGTTATGTACCTTCAGCATACAAAATCAGCACACATTTCAAATCTAAGTTCACCTTGTACTGGTGAACGTTTCAGATTTTAAAGTTATCTTTCTGGTTGTCAAGAACAACACAGAGAAAGAAAATTCAAGATAGACAGGATCATAATAGGATGATGACAGGCATAATGAACCCCTGACGGTTACTGATTTGGGGAGAGGAAAATCACACCAGAAATGCAGAAACCAAAAATGATTTGTAGACACAGTGAGAATTCAAATCATAAGCTAGAGCCACATTTGTGAACCCCTAGTCAGCCAGAAGGTTGCTCCATTTCAACTGTCATAGCGGCCATTTTCCAGCCTGGTGGACTTGCTGGTGAAGGGTGGTGTTGCATATGGGTTCACTACACCCTGATCCAAGAAGGAAATGGAGATGCTTATGTTAGGACATTGGCAAGCAACACCAAGGCGATAATAAATACCAAAGGAACAGAAAAAAAAAGAATTAAAAACCCCACCATTTTTTGATCATTTTTTGTTGTTGTTGATGTTTGTATTCAGTTCTCACACATTTTACTTATATTCCTAGAAAGTCTAAACTTTAATGGAATACCACTGATGTGGCAAAATATTATTTTAAGATAGTGCTAATTTATCTTGGAAAATGTAAAAAGAATTAAGAGCTTTATTTAGGAATAGTGGGGTTGGGTATGTTGGGAATTGGGAAAAGAGGTGCAGGGGGACCACAGGGATTGCGAAGGACAGAAAGCTGATTAGACTGCACTAAAGAAGAAAGACAACAAAGATAAAAGAACTCGGGTCAACCCTGAAGCTGCCTGTGACCTTGACTGCCTACCACACTGCTGAGAGGTTCTGTCTTTTTGCTTGGAGAAACTAATAAACCAGAAGAATTGTAAGAATGAATCCAGCAAAGGGGAAGGGCTTTGAATTAACATTTAAATATAACACGTGCAGCGAGCTATAGCTGTAAATTGTATATTTTTAGCACAGAATGGAAATAATCAGCAGAGTGGAGTGGAAATTATGAGACATTTCAAGCTTCCTGGGTTTTTAACAACACACACATACATGCATATTTCTTCAAATCTACAGATCCCCAAATAGGTTTCTAGTACCAAGGGACAGACTCTCTGAATGTGTTGGAATGTTTGGTACCAGAAGAATAATTGTCTCAAAATAAATTTCTATAGGGCATTTTATAAAATATCCACGGAATATAGAAATATCTCTAAAAGTTAATCATTGCTCATCTCATTAAATAAATACCAGTAAGTATCTTTTAAGAATTCCTGTAGCAATTTGATACTTTGAAAATGCTACATATGCTTGAACTGCCTGCACAATGCTTTTTTTTTTGTTTGTTTGTTTGTTTTAAGAGACAAGGTTTCTCTGTATTGTTTTGGAGGCTGTCGGTCCAGCCCATCCTCGAACTCACAGAGATCCACCTGCCTCTGGCTCCCAAGTGCTGGGATTAAAGGCATGTGCCACCAGCACCTGGCTGCACAATATATTCTAAAATGATAACATAAAGACTAAATATCTGATTGTGTGTCAGATGATTTCTGTCATGTTTGAGTGCACATTGCAAAGTTATATTGCCATGAAGACCCTTCTTTGAGTAACTACTAAGACCAGTTTGCTTGGAGTGTACCCCTCCCCCATGCTCATTGAGTCCCCTTGAAATAAACATCTCTGGTAGGACACTTCCTGAAAGATTTCAACCAACCACTTAAGATCCTGTACACTGTTAATAGAGTCTATAAACTTCACAACCCTCTGTTTTCTTCCAACTGTTGCATTACAGCCTCCCTGTAGCATAAGTAGATTGCCTATGTCTACTTTTATTGTTAGAATTATCTGGAACATATGTGTAAAGAGAAGCTTTTTCTTTGAGAGAAGCCTTCCCGCCAGCCTGGTTCTAGAGCCGCATCAGTCCCAAATAAACACACAGGAGGCTATATTAATTATGAAGCTGTTGGCCTTTGCTTGTTTCTTACTGGCTAGCTTTGACTTAAGTAATTACCCCATAATTGTTAATCTAAGTATTTCTCTTACCGGAGAATAGTTCCGGGCTTCCTACCCCATGGTGGTTACATCTTGAATCTCCTTGTGTTTCTCCTACCCAGAGTCCTTCTGGACTCCTAGTCCCTCATATCTAGATTCCCTATTGGCCAGACAGTGCTTTATTGGCAAATGCACAGGACTTCCCCAACACATATGAAAAGACAAGATGGGGCTAGATGGGTTAGAGTTAAGACCAACAACTGTTAAGAGGATCTGGATCTGGTTCCCAGCTCCAAAGTAACATCTTACAACCACCTGTCACCCCAGTTCCGGGAGATCAGATATCATCTTTGGACTCCTGAGGAAAGAGTCATTCATTTGATGAGCAGACAAATATACAGGTTAAACAAAATATACAGGTAAAACACTCAAACACATCAAGTAAAAAAAAATCTTTTTTAAAGGACAAAAAAAGCACTTCTAAATTCAAAAGGCAATAAAATAACAATCTACCCATGATTTTTTTTTCAAAGCCCTAGAAGTTAACAAAAGTTGCCGGAGAGTTGTCTTTATTTGTTCTATCTGGCTCTTCCCTGTAAGATCCACGTGTAAAGCTATCTTTGCTTAAACTTGTGTGGGAATCACCCAGTGTTAAAGCTCTCTCTTGGAAGCATTTACTGGAAAACTAGGATGCAATCAAGATGCTTTGTGTGCTCTTGTGGTGTCCGCGCTACGAGCAAGTCTGAGGTATCTGAAAATGAAAGACAAGACAGTTGTTTGTGCTGTGAGATTGCGTGTATGTATCTTTATTGTAAGAGAATGTGTGTGTGTGTGTGTGTGTGTGTTTATTGCAGGTGCTAAGAGGTCTCTATTGTAGAGAGGGATCAGTTTTATATACAGGCTTACAGCACAGTGCCAAAACCCCAGGTGGAAGAGATTGTGTTTTCCTCATGCTAGATGTTGATGTCAGTGGGGCAAGGCCAGGACAATAAGCCAGAAC